TTGCGCATGAGCGTCTCTGTCAGGCCCTGCATGACAAAGCGTTGACCAAGCCAGGCTGTGCCTACCCACTACTGCTGTGCTGCTGTGTTGGAGCCTGCTCCATTTGGTGCTTGGTATTGTATCGCTGGCGCCAATGGGTTCGGCCTGCGGTGTTTATGAGAGCGCGGTGTGGGGGGGGGGTGCCGTGGTAGAATAATGGCTACTGATTAGAATGAGAATCAGATCAGTTTACTGACCTGCACCAGCGGGAGGGACTCCCGGAGGGGGAATGGGAAGGAAGGGAGGGCGAGGAAGAGTGACTGCAGCTTTCACACATCCAGAGCAGGGAGCTAGATTACAGGCCGGATGTGGGGAGGGGGAGGGGGAGGGGGGGGGCAGGGCAGGGCAGAAGGGCCGAGTGGGGCTGATTCACCGTGCCTCCCCGCTGTCGGCTGGGCCCGGAGAGGTGGGGCGGGCCGGGCCGGTCAGCGGGATCCAGGTGATTCCAGCGGAATTCTTTGCTCTCTCCAGTGAATGACGCACAGGAAGGAAAAAACAACCATTCATCATGCTGGCTGCTTCCCATCACCACTTCGCAATTTCAATAGGGCCCCTTTTAAATGCAAATGCACATTAATCCTCCTGACTGTTGCTAATCTGCACTACCTGTTTAGGGGCAGTACTGGCATCCGGGAGAGCGGCGTTGACAGTGGGGGTGTCCAGTCCTGGTCCTGGGGGGAGGGGGCGTCTCTCTCCCAAGCAGCAGCCCAGGGAGAAGCTGATCCGCTGGTCCAGTGGAGCCAGTAATGAGAGCCGGGTTTACAAGCCCACTCCAGGAGCAGGACCGGACACTCCTGATGTACAGAGTGATGAGTTCCCTGTGCGCCCAGCCTGGGGAAAGGCATGGGCGATGGCCGGCAGGCAGGAACTCGTGCTCCTCTGCCTGTTTCCAGAGCTGTGATGTAGCGAGTCGTTCCTGTTACTCGTGGCTGTAGGGGAAGGCTCAGAAGGGAGAGGGAAACTCTTAGAGTTTTTATTATTCTTGTTCCTTTTTCAGAGCAGGAGGGGTATAGTTAGCCTCCCTGTCCCTCTCTTCCTTCCTGCCCTTGGTGTAAATGGGTGCCGGTCAGCTCTCCAGAGCCGGCTCTGCAGGGGACACCATTCCCTAATCCCGGGCCCAATCAGGTTCCTCTCACAGTCTCTCCCGCCCCCCGCCCTCGGGAGAACAGGAGACTTGTCGCGGTCCTGGTGGACAGTCGGCACCGCAGTGGACTTCCCTGCCCCGGAATTCTTCCCACGTTAGCGTTCCCGAGTCTGGAGCTCAGCCCCAGTGCTGCCCCTCGGCAGGTATTAAACTGGAAGGGCTTTAATAGGGGATTAGTGCGCTAGGGGGTCTCGCCCTTCGGGGGAGTAATCTTCCAGGGATTAACACGGAGCTCTTTTAGGGGTCCCGTCTTCGACATCAGAAGATTTGTGTCACGCTATGTTCCTGCACACTGTGCTCGATAAAGACATCAGGCAAGAGAATAATTACAGCGCAGGGATCTTAAATCCGACTTATTGTGCAGCCGTTCAATAGGGGAGTGAATTCATGGACGCAGATATTACAGGACATGACCAAGGAGCTAAGCGCTCTGCTCCTGTTGTAGTCTTCTTTCCATGCAGGTTTGCTTGCTACTTTATGCTGTGTCCTCATCACTTTGCTGCTGCTTCATGTTTCAATTGATTGTGCTTTGATTGATTGATTGTGGGTTGGATCTTTTGGAGTAAAAACCTCAATCAGAATAATGAAGAGAAGGGGGTCACATGAGAGATTGAGGGAATGCGGACGAAATTGGAGGCCAGCAGAACTAACGGAAAACCCTGTCTTATCAGTGACCTGAAGGTCTGATCTCCTTGGTACGCGTAGAAAACTGATCCGTTAAGCCCACGATAGGAAACGTAACTCTTTGGGATCAAAATAGAATTTAAATGGACCAAGTAGATAACTGATCTTATAATGGACACATATAATTCCAGTCAGGTAAGGGGATGGGTCAGTCTTCCTGACAATTCACATGGAAATGATCTTATAAGGAATGGGGGCGATGAGAGAACGTGTCCACAGAGGGTGACCGTCTCTGGCACAGTCCCACCCCTCCCTTCTCCCCCTCTGGTCCTCCAGCTGTGGACACGAGGACTGTTGTAGAGAAAGTGCGTTACTCCCCCGACAGTCAGTGCTGTGCCAGAATCAGTCATTCTCGATCCTCGGGCTCTTCTGAAGTCGAGAAAAAGTGAGGAGTAAGCAGAGGCTCTCTGTGCAGCGGTGCTGAAAATAAAGCGATAGGCTTTGTTGGCTGGATAGGCACCCGCATCTTGTAAAACCCGTAACGGCTCAATTTGCTGTGCAATTGGTGTCTTAATCTGTTTCCTTGCAGTGCAAGTCCTTTTGCTCTTATGCCATTTTGCTGGTGCCAGAACTCCCATGGTGCTTTGCAGGGAAACCTCAGAGAGCAAATGGTCAGTTAGTCCATCTCAGAATAGGCACAGAGTGACCACAATGAACAGTGAGATGACATGAAGAAAGCCAAGCTCTGTGCTTTCATCTGGTTTTGGACACCGAAGGAAAGGAAATTAATGAACGCGTGTTGAAAGCGTGCCCCGAGTTTCAAAAGTTCAATGGGCTGCATAATGCTTAACACTGTTTTTTTCTGCTTGCGTCTTACAGTGTGTTACGCATTGCACTGCATCTTGCATCACACCACGTGCTACAGCCCTTCACAGATCACATCAGCACTGGACAAATAAGGTTCAGGTCTGAAGCCTAAGATCAGTAACAGCTGTCCTCCCTGCTGCTGGGTCCTGCGTCGGCCTCGGGGCTTTTCCGATCCGCCTGGGGGTGGCTGGAGGAGCCGGCGCCGTGCGGTGCCGGATCTCTGATCCTTCAGGGCCCGCAGGCTGGCAGTGTTAATTTCATTAACACCTCCCCGAATCTGATGCCCCCGCATGTCTTCCAGCCAGGATGGGCGCCAATATCGCCGCGCACATCGGCGATGCTGCAGCCTGATTATCCCCTAATTAGCCGCAATTAAGGAGAAAGGCGATAGGTGATGCCCTGAGCGATGTTGTGGAGAATGCGGGCTGGCTTGGCGCCCGAGCCCCACTCCTCCTCTCTGAATCTCTCTGTCCTTCCCTCCTCTGTGCTCACATGCTGCCCTTGATCTGGGCTGCTGGTACCGAGATCCCCCCCCACACACACACACGCACACACACGCTGAAAGAAAGTATCATTATTTTTCCCTCAGATTCCTATTTTGCCACCTCTGGCTTTCAAGACCGGGACACCAAAGCAATTATTAAGAAAAACATGAGCTTGCTATGAACTCACCATAAGACTGTCTGCACTTACTGCAGTTGTTCTTACCTAGCTATTAAAGCAGAACTGCGTGTTGCTTCAGCCTTTCCCCATTTTTCCTATAAAAAAATAAATGTCGGCCAGTGAAAACGAACATCTTAATTGTTTTAATGCTATGCTGTATGAGCTCTTTCTTCGTGGTTGGAGAGATGAAGGGTTTTGTCAGCCTCTGTTACCCAAATCCATATTTCCATGCGTGTGCTCTGTAATTGCACAATCCTCTGAGTTCTCCATTACGTCCCAAACATTGTACTGTCTGTGGCTGTACCGGATTGTCCAAGGCGTTGTGCCCATTGACAGTGCTGTTAATTGGCTGTGCCTGCTGTGTTTAGCCAATGAAATGGAAATAAAGTTGGGTGGGTGCTAACAAATGAACTTGCAAGGCCTCATGGGTAGCAGATGAGCTCACAGATCAGGACAAGGAGAGGACAATGTGTACAATATTAACATTATATTACTGAAGGCTGCTAAACTCGGCACCCAGGATCTGACAAACATACTGGACATTTCATGTCCAGGGATGTATTACAGATTTCCTGTCACAGCTAGCTCATTAAGAGAACGTCCCTGGAACCCCAGTTTGTTTACATGTCTTATTATGATCTGTCTGCCCACTTTTGGAAACTCAGTTTTGAACAATTCACAGATGTCCGTAGCCATCTCTCCCACGAGTATCTGAAGAGCAGAGAATTGGATGTTGTTTTGTTGTTTTACTGCACAACGGCTCAGTGACAAGGTCTAATGGTCAAGGAGTGAGGGGTCACAAGCCGGGGGGGTACTTGTTAAGCGCAGCCCCCAAAACAAACACCAGATACAAGGGATGAAAATATTGAATAATGAAGTATTTGAGTATTGCTAACATTTTCAGTGTTTTTTTTTAATTGAGCCTCTGTAAGAATAACAGGACTAATATGTATTATGAAAAATGTTTAAGTTTAAAGTCGTTAATTATCCAGCCTGTAGGTTTGTGGTAGGTATTGGCGTGTCTGTGTATGTTTCCCACCTTACACTCTTCTGTGGGGACACCATCCTGCTCACTGCTGTGTACAGTACTTCACCAGGCAATAGCAGGACTGGGCAGTGACAGTCAGCACTGGGGCAGTACCTGTGAGTTCGCTCCTGGTTCACTGGAGCATCGCGCAAGGGTTAGATATGAGCCAGCAGTCGCCTAATATTAATTTGTTTTTTTTGAATCATTGGAATGAAAAGAGCTGTTGACCATGGGTAACTTCCTTTTCGTCTTGTGGCAGAGTGATTTTGTATTTTAATCAAAAGCCCGTACAGCACTCTGCAAAATTCCTGCTGCTGCTTGGGAAATCCCATTCCCAGCTGGCTAGTGACCCAGGCTCGAACCCGAGTGATACTGGGCCACAGGGCTCAGAATAGGACAGTACAATGTCAGTGAGAATCAGTGAGCTGATTCACTGGAATCTCTTGCTCAGCTGAATGAGAGTTCAGAGAATGTGTAGTTCGATATATAGTAATTCCACCAATAAGTGTTTTTCAGATACAGTGCCTGATCTTGGGTTTTCAGCTATATGTTTTTATTTTAGAGGCTAACCAATATAATGCTTTGTCATGCGGTTTCAATGTCCTGACTGGTTATTATTATTTTCTTTTTGTGCAGGCCTCACATCAGGCCAGCCCCTTCAAGGCCCCCAGTCCCAGGATCAGGTTTCCTTGGTGCTCAAGAGTCTCGTCCAATCAGAGTGTTCAGGCAGAAGCGAGAGGCGGGGCAGGAGGCAGGGCCAGAGGCATGGGAGGAGTCGGCGTGCTCTTGACGTGGGTTCTGATTGGCTGGGGAGAGGTCACATGCCTGGACTGGGACCCCGTCCCTCGCAAGACGGTCAAGCACAGCGGTGAGTTTCCAAACGGGATAAAGTCGAGGTGTTCTCCTGTTCCCTCTCAGCTACCTTCCTCTGTCCCTTTCTCCCCTTCCCTCTCTTTCCCTGAGTTGGTCTTTTGTGCTTTCCCTTTTCTCTGTCCTGTCCCCTGCCCCTCTCCTCTGTGTGCGGTGGTGAAGCAGCTGCTCTAGCACGAAGTTTACTAAAGCCGTGTTCCTAAAGCTGTTTGTGCTGTGCCAGTTTCGAAAAGCAGAACCATGGAGCAGCTTGAGCATGGAAGACCAGCTGTCTCTTTAAGACTGGCAAAGGCCATCCTGCCCAGACACAGGGCACACATCCTGCCAAGCCCTGGAGCCTGGCAGTTCTTTTCTCCCCCCTGTCCCACTCCTGTCTTCTCCTCTGTCACCCCCTTCTTCCTCTGAATTCTCCCTTCCTGCCCTGGTTCTCTCTCCCTGATGGGTGAGCGGAGGAGAGGCCGAATGGAAAATCCGATCGACGTGCACAGGAAGTCAATATCGCCCTGGAAAAAATCTCTCCCACACACACAAAGACTCCATATTTAATTTGCTGGTGTAGAACTGCATAAACGCTCAGAGCCTTTATTGCAAGTTTAAATAACTTTAATTGCTGTTGATGGGGGAGCGGAGTCTTTAAAACTGATTGAGCGAGACTGAGCAGGGGCCAGGGAGGAAACAGTAAAACTGGGATTGCTCAGAGTGGACAACCAGAAGCCTTTTGTACAAGAGAACGAGTTAGAGAGGCGTTTAACACTTGAAAGAATATGCAAGGCGGTGGTTCTAAGTGAAATACAGTTGTTAAAAAGTCACTTGGATTTAGTTCAGCGTTCAATGATTGTGGGAGGCAGCACAGTGGTGCAGTGGGCCCTGGGTTCAGTTCTGATACCGAGGTGCTATCTGTGTGGAGTATGTACAGTATACTCTTGCTGTGTTCACATGGGCTTCCTGCAGGGCCTCTGGTTTCCTCCCACAGTCCAAACACATGCCTGTAGGGCTTAATTGGCTACTGGGAAATTTGGCCCTGGTGTGAGTGTGTGCAAGTTTATCAAGTTTCTGTCTGTGTGCCCTGCGATGGACTGGCCGGGTCGCGTCCAGGGTCCAGGGTGTAGCGTGTCTTACCTCCGTTGCTTCCTGGGATAGGCTCCGGCTCCCCTATGACCCTGCATTGGAAGAGGCAGTTAGGAAATGGATGGGCAGATGATTATGAGAGAGTTCAGTGGGAGTTACAGCGGAGCTAGACCGAGTCTCCTTTCTGTATTGCACGGATCCGATGATCGAAGAGTTCAGAGTTCAGCGGAAGTTATGGCCGAGCTAGACTGAGTTACTCGGCAGCTCTGTACAGATTTGATGATGGAGTGTCTGAAGTCTCTGTAAGCCTCTCTCAGCTGCACGTGTAATCAGCTCTAATCCTCCTGCCCAGCTAATTGGTGTTTACTCGTCACAGAGCTCTACACTCTCGCTGCTCTGGTCTCTGCCTGCCTTGTCCTTGGCCTATTCCATTTACATATCCATTCCCACCCCAAAAGCTCTTTTACACTTCCAAAAAACAGGGGAACGTTCGGAACAAAAGACACATTGCTTCTAGATGTGCAGTGAGCTCTGAAGCATTACAGAAGTGCAAATAATTGTTTTGTGCCAGTACCGTGTTTTTAATTCATTACTTGAGCTCGTAGGTGGCTCGTCCGAACCCGTCCCTGGCCTGGAGCAGATGGAGCCCCTATTAGTCCTGCTGGCCGGTCGCTGTGTGTTTGTGGCCATGGGTGTGTCTGCCCTCACCACCCCCCACGACACAAACTTCGCCTGCAGCCTCCCCCTCTGCTTGCCTATACTTTCTCTCGCTGCTCAGCCCAGCGGAGCTGTGTCTCCCTGCTAACCCATCATTACTGTAATTGGGGGGTACAGGCAGCACAGTTGGGAGAGATTCCCAGTTTCTCTCTTTCTGCAGTTCCACTTTTCCATCTCCTTCTCTTGCAAAATACAATTTCATTCCATTCATTCCCTTCGGCTTTGCCTTTTCCCATTCCCCCTCTCTCCCTCTTCCTCCATGACCGCAGGGTTCGGAGCTGCGCTGGGGCCCTGGGGTCTGGGATTTGGGCGGGAGTCTAGGGTAGGTGGTCAAGGGAGAGACGGGGAAGGAGGGAGGGAAGCTGTTAAATGTGTTTCTGTTTTTCCGGTAGACCCCAAATTAGTCAAAGCTGCTCGGGGGTTAGTGATTAGAGACTTGTGTGTGTTTTTTGGGGGGAGTACTGAATTGGATGATTATTGCTTCCCTCATCTCCCCACCTCCCTCTCCCTATAGAGAAATGCTAATCCCTTCAGACTGCTGCAGTCAGCACACGTTGTATAGCATGGAGCAGGGCACTGTGCACACACTGCACTGGAGAAACACTGGAGATACACTGCACTGGAGAAACACTGGAGATACGCGGCACTGGAGAAACACTGGAGATACACACGACACTGGAAAAACACTGGAGATACACAAGGCGCTGGAGAAACACTGGAGATACACAC